GCAGCTCGTCAGTGAACAACGGCTCTGTGTAGTTAATGCTGCTCCATGTGAAAGCACGCACGTGATGGAGATTTACCGCTGATTACAGAACCGGCTTTACTGATAAGATGCGCGTTAAATATCGCATGTGATTTATCGTGCAGCCCTAACATTTACGTTTAAAAAATCTCACCAACCCTAAACTTTTAAATAAAAGTTTGAAAACAGTTGTACAATATTCCAAGTCATACAAGCAAAATATGAGCAAAATTTAAGCCATTATTCGCTGATAATATTCCCCTCCAGTGATGTATATTTCGATTAAAACTCACCAGTCATTTAATGCTAAATGTACACATGAAAAATTTTGTATATGCCTATACTGTATTTTTTAAATGCTTGTATTATCATCAAACTCGAAAACCTTTTGAAACCCAGCACAACGATGTTGATGTTTGAAGACATTGCAGGTCGTCCCAAATGAACATATTTTGCTAAGTGAAGTGCTCCCACAGATACCTGCTCAGTGTGTAGGAAGCAGTGAGCACTACACATGGCCCCTGTGAATCGGATGGCAGAGTGCTAAAGAAGAGAAACAGCATGGCAGTAATGGGGATAATCTGTAACATACAGCAGAACCCTCAGGCCTTTCAGTCACTTCTCCCTCAAATCACTGAGTCATCCCTAATCAGACTGTCTATCTGCCTGTCTGTCTCTCAGGTCTGGAGCAAAGACGACCGGATCGTTTTGTTTGACACAGGCACACTTCATGTGTTTGCTTATGACTTCCTCTCTCCAACAGGTTTTATCTGGTGGTGGGGGAGCATGTGACAACTAATCTCTGTCTCCCCACTCCCAAACGAGGGGATTTCACACAAAGCCTCCGATTTTGTTCGTCTGTCAATGATGCGATTTGCTCGTGCACCACCACAGACACGTGTGTCTCTATAGCTGGGATGTTTTGGTCCGAGCAACTGAGACGTCCAAGGCATAAATGGTGTAATGATGAACTTAGTCTCATGATGTGGCAGTATATTAACAGACAGTATTTAACAGCCCATAATTGAGATTTAATGACACATAATGGCTTTGAGAGACAGTATAATCACTAAACTAATGTGGCCGTCACTGCAGTGCAAACATAAAGCAGTGGGTCACAAATGGGTCGCAGGTCTGGTCTGATGTTCTGGTCACAGACAGCATTGCTAAACAAATCATAAAATACAAAATCAGCAAAAAAAGGAAAAATGTATTCCATATCTTTTGTTGTTAATATCCAATCAAACTCTACAGTATTTTTTTTAACCAAGAAGTACAGTAATTCTTCTTGGTTACTTGGTAGAAGTCAAATTAAGCAGATGTCATTACAAATAGGCAGGGTGATGTTCTTGAAAAACATACAAACATAGAATAAAACTATGCAGGATAAAAGAAAATATAACCCAGAAATGTGATTTCACTTGCAACAGGGACAAACATGGTCTGTTTCCACCACAATGTGTTTTGTATGGTGAGTTATTGACTGTCGAAAGCATGAAACTAGGGTGCACAATATTGGTTAAGTGGACAATATTCTAGATTTTTTTTAAAGTATATATTGGATATATGTTGGCTGATTTTGGATATTTGAATGTTTATGCTCATTTCACCTATTTTAGATTACCGTTGCCATCATCTAATGTTTACTTAATGTTAATCTTTAAAACATTAACAATTTAATAACACCATTAAATCTAATCTTTGGCAAATCTCCACTGAACATAAATTTTTGCATAAATTCACTTGTAACATTTAAAACGACTGAATGTTTTATTTTTAATTCAGACAAAACGGTGTAGAATTTAAAATCAGCAATTTATCAGTTATTGGCCATTAGACGAAAACAAATATCGGCTTATCGGTCAGAATATTAATATTGGTGCAATCCTATAAGAAACCATCAAAATTCAGGAGATGTCCAGAAAAATTTTCAAATTCAGCCTATGACATGTTAATATTTTTGCATACTGTTAGGTTCATAGCAATATTAATACATTTTGATTCATAATTTAAAGACAATTTTTTTTAATGAAAAATAGTTTTGGCACTGTATTTTGTCACCATTTAAGTATGTATAAATAATATACGGGTCTCATCTAGATGCCTGGTTTGTAAGCTTGTAAAAACAACAAAACTATACACCAATTAAAATCAGAAACTACATTATTGGAGTATTTACAAGCACATTCTGAGTGAAAACTGATTCAAAGTAAACTTTTCACCAATTTTTTTTCAGTGTACATAATTATTGAGATTGTTAGGACGTCTGCTACCCTGAAAACAGTGTACATGCAATTACAGTCCCTATATTATGGCACAGAGCTAAAAATAAAGGATGTGCTCTATATTTGTGTGATCAACCCGTCCGGTTACGGTCAGTCAGTATAACATGATATAAGCAAAAAAAAAAATCTACAGTAGTCCTGTCTCGCTCCAAATATAAAAGCCCTCACCTGAGCACACATCTACAGTGAGAAACAGACAGCAGAAAGGGGGGGTCATTCAGGAAACACAACCAGGGAACAGAAAGCACAACAAATATCGGCATTGTTGGTTGAAGAAAAAAAAGCCCTCTGTTCACAGCTGATGCTGAAACTGTCGCACTAGTGCACAGAAACTGCCTCATCTCCATAACACAAAAACAGGCCTCACAATAGCAACCATGGAGACAGCAATCTTACAGCTCTCCTTTCACATGAGCACAATGACACACGCAAACACACAGAGCCTCAGCTGTAGCAGTCTGACAAACAGAGGAAAGACAACACCAAAACATCACAGCATTTGTACCTGAATCTTCATTTTCCAACAGGAATGCATTGGTGAATCCTTTAGGAGAAGGTTGTCCCCCTCCGTTACAAACACACACAAACAAAGCCTTGCTGGAGAGGTTACATGTCCCTTGTGTAAATCCTGTGGGAGAGGTGAAGCTGATAAACACGGAAGTGGTGCAGAGCAGGATGCAACAGTGGCAGATCCAACTGTCCTACAGCCACATTTCTGAGAGGCAGAAATGAGGCAGAAACAGACAGAGGCAGATGCACACAAGCTCACAGAGCGAATGAGAGATACTAGCCCAGGCTTGTTCTCTCAGCCGGTAAGCCCAAAAACCAGCTACTTCCTCCAGCTGAATCTAATCAGCAGGGACAACCCGGTGCCTCGTGCATTATTTATGAGGGGGTGGAGCCGAGTGTGCTCTTTGGCCGTCTGTGTTTCACATCCCCACCCCCAACCTCCTAACCCACAGTCCCTCCCCCTCCAAACTGTCATTTGTCCCTGTGCCCAGTGCCTTCCTTTCTCATCCTTTGGGGGATTCAGTTCGT